GTGCTGGGATTCCAACAGACGGCGGTGTTCGGCTCGCAGACTGCGACGAGTCGATTCATGCGGATCCGGATGCGCGGGTTCCTTGAGGCACAAGTTTCGAAAGTCTTGAAGGTCCAGGTCTTCTTTGTTGGGCGCGCAAATCATGGCAGAATCCACGGGTTTCCCTCCAAACCTGAACATATGACAAATGAAAAAAAAAAAACATAAGTGAATAGATTTCACTTATTTCACTTCAAGTGAAATCTTATTACTTTCACTCCAACATTCCGAAAAAAATAATGCTTTTCATACACTGAACGTCTCTAGTTGGAATTCACTCATATTCCACCAGTTTGGCTGGTTTTTACTTCATACAACAACATCTTTTGAACATTTCGAATTTCTCGTAAATTATGCTGAAAATTATATCAAATATCTTTTATAGCATATTTCTTTTACATTTCTTTGAATTTTTTGTGGATTCTCTAAACTACCTTTTACTGTAAATCCTTTTAAATTCTTTGTAAATTATTTACATTTCTCGTAAAATATTTTAGATTTCTCGTAAAGTATTTCCAATTTCTTGTAAATTATCTGGCACTTCTTGTTGATTATTTTCAATTTCCTGCAAATTCCTTCAAGTTTCTGGTACTGTATATTCTTTCAAATTTCCTATAAATACACTTCAAAATTCCTTTTAAATTCTTCCAAATTTGTTTTGAATTCTTTCAAATTCCGCGAAAATTCTTAAATTTCCTGTAAATTCGTTACAACAAAAAAAAAAAGGTCAGACATTCATTAAAGCTAAAGAACAAGAAGAAAAGTGACTCACTCGCACAAGAGATGCACCCAAACCAGAGAATTTCTCGCAAACTGCAAAAGTTGCTCATTCCCCAGCTTGATTTGAAAAACATCATCACCCCGGTTCTCCTCGTCATCTCGCCAAAAATCAAACGGGGTCCTTGTTTGACTTTGACAAATGTCCCTCAGCCAGCAAAGCTTCTGCTCTGCTCTGAGCACGAAAAAGCCCTCGGCCGACTCCGCACTGATGCCCGGAACACACCGGCGCAAAACGTCCGCGTAATCTGGTCCAAAGGGCCACCTGGCCCCGAGTTTGATGTAGTTGGGCCTGTGCACCGGCGGGTGGGCAAAGTGCACGTCCTTCTTCCTCTGCTGCTCGACCTGCGCGGAAACTCGTCCGGCTTCCGTGTCGG